CTGGCCAATAGCCTTTTCCTATGGATGCACAAAAAAATGATATACTCCAAAATTGAGATTATCAACATCTTCGTACGTGTGAACATGAGGGTAAATAGATTCAGGGTGCATTTCGCTGTAAATTCTCGCAATCTTCGAAATTTGTGTACTCCTGAATATTTTGCATCGGTCATAATCGTCGCGGATGTACCGACGCGTCTCTTCTCCATAAAATGCTGTTTCCTTCTTGAATTGCTCGATCAGATCGGTGATTCTTGCTGATGGTTCGGTCAAAACATTTGCAGCTTCTTCCGCAATGTTGTGCATTGGAATTTTTTTGATGTCCATCAGGTTTTCATTATCAACTATACATTCGGCCTCTAATCGTACTATACCTTCTTCATGTGTAGCTTTAATAAAACATATAGGTATTTTACAGGATTGCATGTGAAATAGATTCATTTGAACACTGTCGTTCGAAATTCCAGCATGAGCCTAAAAGTTGATTAACTGAATACATATTTGTTCCTGAAAATAGGTGAACTGTTGTTGCAGTTACTATGGGTATACCAACTGGAAGTTCGTATTATTTGAACCGAGCAAAGTCCTCACAGGCTTAGTGCGTCTCCTTCTTGTAGAATAGTGGGTTTGCGTTAGCGCCACAACATCTGTGTGATGGGTAAGTAATTGGGCAAACCGAGAAAAGAGCGGAGCTTCCGCCGACTTCTGTTTTGACGAAAAGATTTGCTGCTAAATGCGAACGTTTGTGACAAGACAGTCCTTTCTAATGCACAACAGAATGCTGAAAATCTTACCCATATATATTTCGTTCTTATCTTTTTGTCCAGTGCGTAATTTTCTTCGATTTGCGCTTTCGCCAAGCGAAGAAACAAATCGATGATAGCAGCGAAACAGTAAGCAATTGCCGCTTTCTGAAAAATACCGTGCAATAATGAAAGTAATTTAAGCTGTAAGTGAAGACACCAAACTCTGTCCTGAATTACGAATTCTCACCATGCAACTACCACTTGTGGAATTTCTAAACGGAGTGTACCAAGGGGCTTGCATGCTGGGAATTTGTACGTTTGGAATGGTTCAAAGGTAGTGACGATGCACCGGCACATTTCGCAGTGCAATCGTCTTCATCTTGCGACAGAAATATTTATCGCACGAACGTAAAGTTTTCCTGTGCGTTCCACAGTTTACCGTGTGCGCATTGCGAAGTGCTAGAAAATCATTCAGCTTACTTCTGCGGCTACAGTACTTGGGCACATACTGACCGCTGCCTTGTCCTGTCCACTTTTTTTTCGGGGATGCAGCTGCTCTTGTTGACATCCGTAGGCAGCTTGGAAAGTCGATCTATCGTTTTATTCGTTAGCTGATGTTGCTTATCCCGTTCTTTCGCATAGCATTCGGTGATACACAGATTGCGATTAGAAAGCGAAAAACTGCGTTAATTTGGTTCTAAAAGCCCCTTTCCCCCAATGGAACAAAAAC